CCCTATCTTTCAATTTTCTACTTTGAGAATTTCTTATCTCCTAACATCTGGACATACATATTTGTCAGACAGATAAAATATGAATTATTTATATTATAATGACATTTTAGCCTAAATATTTTTCAATCTCTCTTCTGAACTAATTAAAGTATGATTTTAAAAAAAAAACAGAAAACAATGACTTACTCAGAAGTGAAGTAAGGAAATTTCCACAGGTAAGACAGTGAGCTGACCTACAGGCTGCTGTGACAGGGAAGGAGCAGTGCCAGCTCAGGCCTGCAGGGGCCTCTGTGGCCTCAGCCCTGAGAAGAGCAATCTCCAAATACAATGATGTAATATGACTTCTAGTCATTCAAGTGGAAAGTAGTACTGCCTATTTTAGAGCTCACATTCCCTTGTCACAATTTTCTGAAAAACTCAAAGGTCTGTTGCTACACTTTCTTTAGCCTAACAATTAAAAAGCATTGGGTCCATATAAGAATACCAAGAAGTATTCCAAGTCCTTAAGTTCAGCAATGGGGGGAAATTAGGCTCATCTGCCATAAATTCTCCTCCTCCCTTCTTTTCTGATCTCGTATAAATCATAGAAAACCAAAGACAAAATTAAAAAGCAATAAAGAACGCCCAGTAGTTTACCTTATCCAATGAAATGAGGCTGCACTGTTGCCCTGATGAACTTAATAGGGTTCAACCCAACTGCAGCTTGGCTTTAAAGCTCAGGTCAGTGACTAAGTCATGGACTGTTTGCTGGGCTCATGACCACCCACACTTGAGCACTATCCAGCATTCTGTGAAGTGAGCATCCTGCAAAGCCAGGAAGGTTAGGAAAGGACCACAGACGAGGACAAAGGTAACGTTGGAGGGGTCTGGTACACCGCAGTAGGAAATGCAGGTACTGAGCCACTGCACCAGTATTTGTCCCCATCAAGCCCAAGCAAACCCTTCCCAGGTTCTTTAATTTAGAAGAATTAAGACCAGTAACTTACACACACGACTAAGGGATCGATTTACAGCAGTGTGCCCAGAAGCTGCGGCACACTTGTAAGATTTCCGCCCTGGAAAATATTAAGTTCTCCTCTGTGCCAATAAGAAAACCATCCTCAAAGGGAGTAAAACTTGACATTCTGGGATAACTGCTCACATAAAGGGAAACCTTTTGTGGTTGCTAACTATAAAACTTGCTTTCTGAACAACTGTAGCATGACACCAGGGCCAATATCTACCATGAAAACTGCACAACACCACTGCATTTAGAATACCACTTTTCCAGTTGTTTAAGTCCCTGTTGGTCCAGATTTCCACTTCCATTCTAAGGGTTGGAAAGCATCAGTTATTAAATATTTGCAAGAATACATTTTCCAGATTATGTCAATTGTTTCTATGAACCTTACTGCGGCCACAATAAACCTGGCTATTTGTAGATATCTGAGGTCTCCCAGTTAACGTGAGAAACTAATAATGAAATTGGCCTTGTTCTGAACATGAATATGCTAGGAAACATGGACCTCATGACCCTCCCATAAAGATCAAGCTCAATCACACAAAAAGTATATATTGTAGTCTTTTTAAGGCAAGCAATATTCCAACACTTGCAGTTGGGCCACGGAGAGTGGTCTCGGTCAAATCAAACACAATCTGAAGTCTCACTGAGGATCCAGGATGTAGCAATACACATCCTTGGCTTCCTTTTATATCTTTGGATAAATCAAGCTGTGTAGATGGCTTAGTTTACATGCTAGATAGCTTGGTCATGGAACATTCCCACTGAACACGCTATATGGACACACAGCAATGACTTCTATAGACTCATGACTTGTAGAGCCTTAAGATACAGATGTATTCACCATGCAGTTCTAGTCCAGACACACAATGCCAATCCTATAATAAGACAAGGATTCTACTCCCAGCAATCTCCAGCTGCTGGGAAGGAAAGGATGAAGGAAAACAACAGATAGCAGGCAGAGGTGTACCAAGAGCCCAGAGAATCTCCAAGTTGGGTAATGGTGACCTAGAAAAGGTGTCAACAAGACTAAAAGAGGAATCTAGACTATGAACTAACACTATGGCCAGGAGTATATAACTGGTTTCTTGATAAAGTTACTTTAAAATGGGTCTCATCTTTTATCAGTTGTCCATATTGCTAAACTATTTATAAGCAGAATGATATAATCGGTCTTTTCCTCAAGATATGCAGGGTTGGTAGGTGTTTGAGATTGAAGAAGGTAAACATAAAACAAGAAATGAAATGATACATGCTGGGTACAATACCAAGGCAACCATCTACAGGGAGAACCTTCTCAAGGTAACACAGGGCACTTTGCAAATACCAGACACATAGAATTCTAGCTTGTGGTACGACTCTAGGGGTGTTGGCTGAATGGCAAGGTCAGGGCCTGTGACCACAGAATCCATGGATTCCAAGAACAGAACAAAACACCCTTTCCTATGGTACACATAATTTTCCTAGAGTTGGAGAAAGCAGTCCTCCCTGAGGTTGTGTGCAACACACTGTCCTCCATGTCCTCAATTCCCCCATACTTCCAGGATCCCACTCCAAGTCAACAAAGCTAATATCAATTGGGAAATAAAAGCTAAATTACTATAAAGAAAAAAAGAGGGGGGCACAAGTAGTTGCTCCAAAGTTCAGAAGCACCACTGTTTACATTCAGAGCAACAGAAATGCCTACATGGTATGCTCTAAAGCAACTTTACATATAAAGAAATTAACATGTCATTTCCTTCCAGCTGGGGGACTGGCTCCTCACTGTCTGTCCCCAGCCTGTTTTCAGTGCGAATATTATCTCCACAGAGCTGTTGAGGGCCAAGATCTCTGGAAACCATGTACCAGAGCCCCCTGTCCACACAGACTCTGTTCCAAGACCTCTAGGGGCTGCTTAAAGCCACAGATAGCACACAGCCCTATAATTGGGTGCATTTTCCATCTTAACTAAGCATTTGGCCACAAATTCTGCAGTCTGAGGTACAACAACAAAACCAGTACAAATTTCTTTTTCCTTCTTCACAATCCGATGGATAGGGAATCTGTTCTTATATAGATCTTAGCAATGTCAGCATAAGTGCTGCCTTTTGTCCCCTTGAGTCAAGAACTTACACCACCTTTTCATTGAAAGGGAGGTCTTCTCTCTGGTCTTCTGAACTCCTATCATCACTACTCTTGGACTTTGGGGCCATTATGGAATCAGACAAGGGTCCCTCGAAAAAATGAACACTGTGGAACCTCCACATAGCTGGCAAACTATAAAGCATGAGTATCCAGTGAGCAGGTGATGAACACAGCATGGGGTGTTCACTGGACAAAGGGCTGGCTAATATCCTGGGTAAGACAGACAATCCAGAATACTCAAAAATGACAAAGAATTTAAGACATAATTACTTATTCCTGAAATTTCTTGTCTAATGTGTTTGGATCATCTGTGGTAATTGAGGCTACAAAAACCAAAACTGTGGGTATATGGGAACTACTGTTTTGTGTTAATTAACTTACCAAAACAGGATAATACATTATCTACATAGCAGAGGCTCAGCAGGACAAGCCCCACAGTACTGTGAGCTTTACCTCCATCTCCATGGTAACCACTGGGGCTGGGGGGGGCTCTTCTTAAAACCCTTAAGAGCATTCATTTGTCCTCAACAGGCCTGCCATCAGGGAGCAAACCAGCTGCACCTGCTGGGTACCTGTTAGAGCTTAATGACCAGGAAAGGGACACAGCAACTTCAGCCCCCAGCTAACCTGTCCTGTCCATATGTAGTTGTGAGAGGTCTGAGCCCAGAGCCCAGGCTCATAGGATGAAAACCTGATCACAGGACTACAGGGACTCAGTGCACCATGAGAAGACTTTCACTATGGTTCCTTAAAAATAACACAACTAAACCATAACAACAGAAAAATTACAAGGCATACAAAACTCCAAAAGTAGTTTCAGAAGATTTAGCAACACCAGATTCCACATGGCAGGGATATTGGAATTAAAATAAATTGAATTTAAAAAAAAAAAACACCTAAGATTAGCATGCTAAGAGCTCCATTGAGTAAGGCAGTCAGCATGCAAGAACAGATGTGCAGTTAGTTCAAGTAGGGCAGGAGTCAAGGCATATCAGGAAATAAAATGCTGGAAGTCAAGACTCTTAGAACAGAAGCCCAGGAGTGTGGGAAGACATAAGCTGTGTGACTCCAAATATGTCATGGGAATACTAGACACAGGAGAGAATGGAGTAAAAGCTGTGATTTGAACAGAGTAACTGGGAATTTCCCTACAGCAATGTCAGGAAGTTCGGAGAACTCATGCAGGGTAAACACTAACAAAATGGCAGCTAGGAACAGCATTTACAAAATGAAGAAAGTCAGAAAAAGAAAAATTCTCCAAAGAAGCCAGAAAGAAGATGTACTTTACCTGCAAAGAAAAAATGGTGAGAATTGGAGCCAATTCTCAGAAACTATGCAAGCAAAGTGAACCATGTCAGGTGTTAAGGCGGGGAGAGGGAAAACTCTCATTGTGAAATTCTCTAAGGAAAAGTAAAGTATTCTCAGCACACACACACACACACACACACACACACACACACACACACACACCAAAAGGGAAGAATTTTGTTTCCAACAAACATTCTCTCTAAACTCCTTCCCTGGAAGTTCTTTCAGCAAAAAGAAAATGGTTTAGAAATCCAGACCCATCAGAGATGGGTATCAAAGAGAAGAAACTAGAAGAAGCTCTAATAAATGATGGATCCCCACCCCTTTCCCCACAAACAAAAAAAAAACAAAAGAGCTTTATTTAAAAGAGCACCACACATTTGACAAATGCATGATCCTGATCCTCTTTCGTCCATCTCTGGAATGCTAGGATTACAGGTCCTGGACGCAGCTGCATGCACTCTTAAATCCCATAATATTTCATCAAAATAAAACCTGACCACCTTTTAAGTGTGATGTAAAACCGGTATGAACTGGAGAGGCCCCTGCTCAAACCAGGAGACTGTACCTGAGGAGCTGCTGGGTTGAAGGCCACTTCAGTAACTGTATCTGTGTGTCCTGCAAGACGATACAGAAAGCTGCTCGAGCCCATTTCGTACACGTACGCCTAGGAGACAATACAAGCAGGTGTTAGAGGTTGGCAGGACTGGTGACCAGCTCCAAACTCTGGCTCAGGTGTGGTCTGTGGCTGACCCAGGACACAGTGATGGCTGACAAGCCTGACACAGTGCCAGCCAAGTCACAGAACTGAGCCACAAAGTACAGCTTACCTCTAAGTGTGCTCAGCCTCTCTACCTCCTGTCATAAGCCCATGACGCCCTCTCAGCAGTCTGAAGTGAGTATTCACAGTTGATGACAGATACTTAGGAAGGCACATGGCCTTTGCATGCCAACATTACGTTAAAGTCCCAAAGGAGAAGATGTTACATTGCTCCTCCCACGAGCCTGACAGAACTCAGAAAACGAGTAATTTGTACACTGCCACCGCCTTTAATCCCAACACTCATGAGGCAGAGGTAGGCAGATTTCTGTGAGTTTGAGGCCAGCCTGATCTACAGAGTGAGTTCCAGGACAGCCTCCAAAGCTACAGAGAAACCCTGCCTCAAAAAACAAACAACAACAACAATGATAATAATAATAATTTGAGGTTTTCTGCCATTGACTAGGAAGTATCACTACCAGAATTATTGCACATTCCATGTTGTTAGTTACTTCTCTGTTGATGTGATAAAATACCATAACCAAAAGCAACTGAAGGGGAACAAAATTCATTTCTGCTTAGGGTTACAGTCCATATAGCAGGGCAGGCATGGCAGCAGGTGATAAAAACAAGAAGCTGGCTGGGTTTGTTTTTCCCTATGTCATTTAGGAGTTTTCCGTTGATATTCCTAAGTTAGATGCAGCTGTTCTCTGAAACATTATCAAGTGTTCATGTCAGTTACTCGATGCAAAGGAATACCATGATGCTCTATTTACATGTTTATGGTTTGAAATGGATATTATTGCATCTTGCTGATCTTTAAGAGGTGTATCTTCTATGAAAACCAGTCCTTTCCACTTAATTTTTCTTTTGGAGAGGATTATGGAAAAGTCCTTTCTTTGGGAAATTTTAATGGATATGAGCTACTCAGGTGGGGTTTGTTTACACTAGGACCTTGAAATAAATAAATATATATTTATTTATATTGTATTAGGTTGGTTTCAAAATCAGTAGAATTCTCCTGCCTCCGCCTCCCAGATGCTTTGTCCTCAAGTGATTCAAAGCAGAAGTGTCCATAGTTCAAAGTGACTCGATTCACTCTCTGACCATAGCATTGATCCATTCCTGTGGGTGGAGCCTGCTCACAGGGGCCATTAAATTTCAACATGGATTCTTTTTATAAGCTGTAATATTTTATTTTATAACTTTCCTCATCAGTGTCCATTTTCTACATGGAAATAAACACACAGTTGAGGAACGCCTCAGCAGGCTCCAAAAAAGAAGGTGCTGTGAATTCTTTTCCTTAGATTTTATGCTTCTAAATCACATGACAGACACGTGATAAATGTTTAAATTATACAATGCATTTATAAGTAAGAATGTGCCTAGTATACTGGCTTTGGGTAGAAAGCAAAGGGAGTTTTTTTTCATATTTTCCTTTCTTGTGAACTTCCAACTCCTCCTTCAAAAATTAGCTCATGTTACTTGTCCCCATAATGTCTTCTGACTAAATCATTAACTGTTAAAATCTCAGCTTCCTCGCATTATGTGTGTATCTCTCAAATCACATTATACTATGTATTCACATTTCTTACTCTTCTAATTTAGAAGTCTTTCTAGGTAGGAATAATTTCTTATATGCAGCTCAGTGCCTGGTGCATACCAGGTGCTCAATAGATCTGCACAAATCAAACCTGAGGCCCCATGCCCATTTCTACATACAACAAAGGAAAAAGACAAAACGTATTTGTTTTATGTGTATATTTACTAAGTATCTGCTACATAGCAGGCAAATGAATAGCAAGTTATGTTTCACTTTGACCAATGCCCAAGTCCTTATTATATTATTTTAAAAGTCCATTCTGCTGATTTAGACTCCAGTAATTCTTTGATTAATCTTCAGGCACACTTTGTAGATGTCCTTTCATATAGCATAGTAGTATTTACCATGAAATACTCTAAAACAGTCCTTCCTAATGCTGTGACCTTTAATACAGTTCCTCATGCTGTGGTGAACCCCAACCATAAAATTATTTTTTTGATACTTCGTACTGTAATTCTGCTGTTAAAGCCTGTAATATAAATATTTACTATGCAGGATATCGGACATACAACCCCCAAAGGTGTCATGCACAGCTCTAAATGCTGTCTAAAAAAGTAAAGGATGGCTATTGCTTTCCTTTGTTTGACAAAGGAATAACCAAGGCACTGGACCTCCTCGCTCTGGTGGCAGTGGAACAGTATGATACCTTTACATGCCAAACATCCATTTTTGTAAAAAGCCAAAGCACTGTGATATATAATACCATGTATGAAACCAACCAGTGAATGTCTCAGGGCACACTTTTTCTTTTCTTCTGCTCTCTGAATGCAGGGTGTCAGGTACGAAGAGCATGTGGGTAATGACGGTAGACAAAATCAAAATTGGAAGTGTAGTTAGTCAATGATGTATAAGTCTTCGAGGCTTTATACTAACTCTTGCAATTGTTTCTGAAAGTAAAGTTCAGCAGTATTCCAGAGAAAACAGCAGTTGTTCCAACGAGTAAAGTGCCATGCATATTTGAAGTCTTTTCTTTTTGAAGCTACTCATTTTCACTAGGATTTTGTTGACCATTGGCCTTCCTAATTTGGCACCTCCTAGAGAAAGAATCAGTTGGCCATGCACTAGTCTTGCTATCTTGATGCCATTTGTGTTAGCAGTGGGGTCCTGTCTTCTCCCGGAGAAGCCTGAGCTCCTGTTACAGATTATGTTGTATGACTGGGGTAGAACAAGGAGTGCTGGGGCACTTCTCTGTCCCCCACAAGAACCCCAAAAGCCATCCCTCAGTCAGGCCCAGGCTCTTTCTTGGGCGCCACCATTTTTTGTGCCTCATGTGACTCTCTCAGAATGGATTTTTATGAGGACACTGTAGGAGACAAACACTCAATTCATTAAATGATCTTTCAGGTGACAGAGGGATTTGAGGCACATAGTGGAGGAAGAGGAAGGGGTTAGCACAGTTTCCAGCCAAGGAGCGCCAAGACCTCACAAGGGGGCTGGCCTCCTCTGTGGCCTTAGCCTCCAATTGTGTGGCAGTGTGCTACACAGCCCTGGGACACTTTAAGACCTCTATGTTCTGAATCTGCAGGAGGTGCGGATCTGGCATGGAGGAAATGTGGTGAGGAAGGGTGGCACCTGTATTGGGAGAAGCACACAGCTCTCTAAGAAACCCAGGAGAAATAAGGATACCTTATTACCCATGAGCCACACTACAATGATTGGCATCTTCACCTTGTCATTCCCACACCACACACTACAGTCGTTCATGGAGTATGTACCCAGTGTCTATGATAACTAATAAATGAGTGATGAACGATAAGTGTGTATTGTGATTCCGTGAAAATGAGCCTTTCTAATGCTGGGTAAGTCTTTTAAAATACTGTCAGGCTCGACATAGATTTTTTTACCCCAATATTCAATGGTGCTGAAGGTCTATTTGATAACACCGCCTAGAAACCCTACACTTGGAGGAAGTACACACACATACATGTCTGTCCTCTGCACCACAGGCCATGAGCCTTCCACAAGGACTAAAAGCAACTCCACAAGGATAACAGCGGTTTGGATGTCCTTCGAAGCGGCGTACGCACCTGCAAGGGTAGAAAGGAACAGCTGAGCAGAAAATAGCTGCTACATCTTAAGACATCAACATGTGTGGTGATATTTTGTTTATGATCTAACAAATAAAGCTTGTCTGAAGATCAGAGGACAAAGCCAGCTACTCTAGCTAGCCCCAGAAGCCAGGCAGTGGTGGCATACACCTCTAAACCCAGCACTCGGGAGACAGAAGGAGACAGATCTCTGTTCAAGGCCACCCTGGGCTACAGGAGAGTGAAACAGTCTAAAAGAGAAACAGCTCACACAAAGGCAATCTCAGTACTTGGGATCCCATACCTTTGATCCCAGCACTAGAGAGGAATATAAGGCAGGAGGAGACAGGAGCAGTGCAGTCTGAGGTTTGGTGGAGACAGGACCGCCCATTTCTGAGGTAGAGGTAAGAGCTAGTGGCTGGCTGCTTTGCTTTTCTGATCTTTAGCTTTAACCCCAATATCTGTCTCTGGGCTTTTATTTTTCATGCTACAAACATTTTTTAAGCTAATAGCTAAAAAAATAAACAAAACTTTGTTTGATGTCTGTGTGTGGTGTTGAGAATCAAACCCATGGCTTTTTTTCATGCTAGGCAAATACTACCACTGAACTACATCCTTGAAATAAATGTCATATTGAGATTCATTTAATGATAGGTAATTGAAGAGACCTTTAAAATAATTTAAATTCCTTTCAAAGTCATAAATTCCCAAAGATATAAGAGAAGATGAACCTTTATATATGAGAAATATTAAATAAGCAATATTTCTAGAGATTATTATACATTTTTCAAACAAATCTTCTAAAGTCATAAATTATGTAAAGAAACAACCCATAACTTTTGGGGAGGTGTAACATTCTAGTAAGAGGGTTGAGTTTCACAACTATTTACCACATGATATATAAAACTTGCCCATGGGGGAAAAAAGTCAATTATTTATGCAGTTTTATTAAGAGGGAACCTAGTTGCCTGGGTCTTCCTTAGAAAGGCATCAACAAGCATGGCCGACACCTCGTGGGTACTTGGGGCATGTCAAGACCAAACAGCATCCCTGAATAGTAGGCGAGATCTCAGTTAAACCATATAACGTAGGATGAAGTTTTTATATTTCTTCTACTGACAAAGAGCAAAGCTAGCATAATGCTGGTTGTTTCCCTGTGAATATCTGTGTACTGCAAACATATAGGAACACTTGTCAATTTTACAACATTGTGTGTGTGTGTTCTACACAGTGATGGCTTATGATATTGTAATTACCAGAAGATAAAGAGGGAGATCAATCAGCCTAAGATGAAGTACCATCGGTGTTACTCCAGGGGAGCTGTGTGAACCCAGTGCTAGTGTCCAGTGTAAGCAAGACATGTGACAGGAGAAGGGGAAAAACGTACCTGGAGTAGCTGTACTGTAGTGTGCACACCCTTCCTCACATCCCTGACTCTCAGGGGCCATGTGTGATTGGCCCTCAGAGAACAGACTCACACCTATGGTTTTTACCATTCCCCAAGTGACGGCATGTGTACAAGCCAGTCTTCTCTAGAGCATACCTAGACTAGTCACAGCCTTGTAGTATCTGCAACCAGGATCAGGTTGCATTCTCAGCTCAGCTCCAATTTCCCTTAGGGCAGTGCTTTGATGCAGGCTGGCCCTTACCTCAGAGTCCTCAGGTCCCACAGTCGAACCCCATCACCAACAGCTGTGGTCAGGAAAAGATTATATGCCAGAGACTGTTGAGTGGTAAATGATGATCCCTGCCATCAGACGAAGAAAATAAGACATCAAGAGGAGCTTTTTAAGAACATTTTACCTAATTGATTTGGGAGGGGATGCATGCCACAGCAAGTGTATAAACAGACCTCTGACAGTTTGCAGGAGTTGGTTCTCTTTCTACCAAGTGGAGCCTGGGGATAAAACTCACATCACCCTCAGGTATAAACCCAAGTGCCTTCACCTGCTTAGCCATGTCATAGACCCCAAGATGACAATACTGGTCAAGTGAATTCACCTGCTTAGCCATCTCACAGACCCCAAGATGACAGTACTGAAATCTAAAGCCAGAAGTCGACCTTTCTTAAATGTATAGCTTTAGAGTGGGACTCTAAACCTCCATGTAACCGTGAACAGCATAGCAGCCTATGTAGATCACAGACAGTACATGCAACAGGGCCTCTCAAGACTACAGCCTGGTGACGTTGTAGCATCTTGGCCTGTGTAAGTTCACTCTATGACTAACAATGTAATTCTCAGAACACAACCTCAGGTTGAGCAGCAGCATGATAACTAGCCAAGCACACTCTTCTCTTAATAATCAATATCTGTTTGCTCCCTGCTCAATGCCCTTTAGAGCTACAGAACTACAAGACAGCAACAGATAAACAGACTAAGATGCTTACACACCAGCATTTGTTTTCCATCTTGATCGCAATTTCCATTCAACAAATTATCTGGAATGCAATGCACTCCTTAATGAGCACCTAGAGTTATTGACCAATTATCACGCTCTAAGGTTCACTGAGTGGGTACCTTGGTGATGAAACACATGAAATTCTGTGGACCCTACATGTCACTGGGAGTAAGGGCTCTGCAAGTCCAGGTCTTGACATCTGATGACTTTGATGGTCCCCCAGAAGGATGGACCCCATCAGAGGATCCATTTGGCTCACAACATTCATCAAACACACTATAACTCATAACAAGTCCATTCTCTTGCTACATCAAGATGACCTGAACTACTGGGACAATCTCATCCAAGATCTAACGCTAATGCACAAACTGACTTAGTGGAGCCCATTCTATATGGAGAGATACCTTGCCCAGCCTAGTCACAGGGGTGTGGGGATGGGGAGGTGCCTTGGTCCTGCCTCAATGAGACAGACTTAGTAGACTTACCAGGGGAAGTCTTACTCTCTCCAAGGAGCAGATGGGAGGATGGGGGGAGATGGGGGAGTGGGAGGAGAATAGAGAGGGAAAAAAATAAAAAATTAATTTGAAAAAAAAGCCAAATTTACAGGAAAAAAAAAGATGGACCTAGAAGTCATACTTCATTTACAATCAGGAAACAAAGGCTCACATTAAACTTGGTGGGAACAAGCCACACTCTAAGGATCAACTGTGCCAGACAGCATTCTGCACATGTCTTTAGCTCTTCATCCTTTCAGCAAACTAGTCAGTCCCCATTTATAGTCAAGAAATCTGATACATGGTGATCTATTCACTGCCTCGTTGCTGTGATGCTCAAGACCATTCAACCCTGAGTTATCTGGCAGGAAAGCCTCAATTGGAGGATTTCCCAGAACAGGGACAGCAGACTGTGGATGGTGCACAGGTTGGTGAAACCTGTCAGCAGACTGTCGCTGCTCTGCAAGCAAAGCCAGCATTGTCCCAGGCAGACAGTAGACTCCTGATTGAGTGAGTCGTCAGACAATAGGTAACACCTGAAGATGACGCTCCCTCATGACTGAGACAGCAGTGGGCTCTCGGAAATACCATTGTGTCTGTATCAACATCAAAGTGGTTCTGGGATTGGTGATTTCTGCTCCATTTTATGGGGTAGGTCTGAGAGCCATTGCAGTGTGAGGACAAGCCATCGCTGGGCCTGGCTTGTTCCCTTCCTAGGTGATGGCTCAAGGCATGTTTTTCTCTTAGGCGTCTTCCCATAGGATGTATCTGCCTGAGGCCAGAAGGGTTAATGCATGGCTTCATGCAGAGACTGCAGAGTGCTCAAGTGCCCGTGCATGTGGCCTTGTGGACTGACAATCCTTTGAGAGCCATGGTGCTGTGCTCTTAGATGTGAGGGGTTATGTTAGGAAAGATAGTTCTGCTTCTTGGTTTTTGTTTTAAATGGGGGAAATACCTAGCTTACCTTTCCGAAAATAAACACATGGGGGGTGGTGATGGAATTCGAGGAAGAGCATGAGGTCACAGAAGCTCGCCTCAGGCTTGGTGGCTCATACACTGACATTTTTGTACACTGACGCACAGCACGTCAGAGCAGTCAGACTCACTATAGCCATGTGGGTGCTGTGGCTTGTGCTGTCCTTCCAGTTCAAGAACAGAAGCACTTAGGTCATACTTGACCCAAATATCACATGCCGGTAAGAATGAAGTAGGCCACTGCCCATTCTGTGATGCTTAGGACCCAATGTGGCCACTGCAGTCGGTGCCAGTGAGGCTCCCTATCTATCACCTAGAGCAGAGTTGTGAGCAAGGCCTCCAGCAGTTAAGATGGACAGGCAGGGCTTAAGCCCCTCTTATTATTGTTAATAAGAATGCTTCTGAACTGGGTCGATGGCCAGACTTTTCTATTGCTATGTATTATTAAATGATTAAATGTTAGATATTTATTCAATATTATTAAATCACTGAACAATTTTTAGATTGAAAATATTGGGTCTCAGGAGATGGGGGAAGTGCTTCTGTGTATATGTTTGTCTTATTGGTTGATGAATAAAGCACTGTTGGCCAATAGGAAAGCAAGATAGGTGGGACTAGGAGCCGAGGAGGATTCTGGGAAATGTAGTAGAGGGAGAGTGATCACCATGTGATCACCAGGAAGACAGGACACATTCCGCCAGCATCCTTGATAAGTCTTTATAAAATATATAGATTAATAATTACGGTTGATACTTAAGACAGAGATAGCAGATAATAAATCCTAGTCATTGGCCTGCAGCATTGTAATTAATATAAGACTTTGTGTGTTATTTCAGGTGCCCACGTGGCGGCGGGTCTCAGATGGCATGGTGTAAAGATTTATCATTACACTTAGGATTTACTGATATCTTTAAAATTGTACCAAATCTTTCTCCTTTATTTAAAAAAACTTAGCAGTTGTAGTTTCCTTAATGTTGCTATGGATAAAACACTGGCAAGGGCAAAGCAGGGGAAGAAAAGATTTATTTGGCTTACATTTCCAGGTCACAATCCATCGCTGACAGGAGTCAGGTGGGAACTCACGTGAGAACCTGAAGGTGGCCTGCTTGTTATCACACACAGCCCCACCTTTAACTGGGGAACTCACTCACTCACTCAGCCAAGAAAGTCAGTAGAAACCATGGTGGAGTGTTTCGGTGGATTATAGGCAGTTGCAATGCTTAGCCAGCTTTCTTATATAGCCCAGGACCACAGGCCCAGCACTGTTCACAGCAAGCTGGGTCCTTCTATACCAATTAACAAACATGTCACTGAATCAAGTCCACTGCCTGCCTGGGCCAGCACTGGCTTTGTCTGATGGAGGATGCTCTTCTGTACATTTGTTTCTCTTATTGGTGGATGAATAACACACTGTTTGGCCAATAAAGGCAGGAAGATAAGTGGGGCTAGGAGACTAGGAGAATGCTGGGGAGAGAGGCAGAGTGGTGCCGAGAGAAGACGCCATGTAGCCACCAAAGGAGTAACAGTCCTGGCATTCTCCGGTAAGCTAAGACCATGTGGAAATAGTTAGATTAATAGAAATGGGTTAATAATTAAGACAGAGCTAGCCAATAAGAAGCCCTAGCCATAGGTCAACAGTTTAATAATTAATATAGTGTCTGTGTGTTTATTTGGGGCTGGAGGATGGCAGGACCAGGCTGGGAAGAAAATCCAGTTACATTTGTCTGCAGGGCACAACAGTCTGCTGACAGGTTTCCCTACCCCATGCACCACCCATAGTCTGCTGTCCCTAACTCAGCCCTGTCATAAGAACCATGTGTCTTCTGAGTAGGGGC